GAGGAACAGGAGGTCGGGTGAGGAGCAGGAGGTCGCTTGCAGGGGGACACGGGTTTTTACACAAAGGATCATGGCCGTCCCGGCCAGTGATGCGGCCTGCATTGGGGCGAGAGCACGACGCCCGAATCGGCTGCCAGATCGTGAGGAAGTCTCAGGCGAAACGGCTGCCAGACAGGGCATCTTTGGTATCTCCGTCCCCCGTGCGGGGTTCCATGGTGCATGTTATTCCCAACCATCCGTTTTGAAGAGACGGCGCCCCGCGTTCCTCTCCTCCTCTCATCTCCTCCTCCTCCCGCTCCTCCCTCTTCCCGTCACCCCCCTCACATTGGCACACCCCTCACACGCCTCGTGGCCCCAAAGGGAGCTCCACCGAAGGTCCCAGTGGCGCAGTTCGCATGCGCCCCCCCCGCCCAATACAGCCTTTCGTGGCCCCAGAGGGAGCTCCACCGAAGGTCTTAGTGGCGCAGTTCGCATGCGTCTCCCCCGCCCAGCACAGCATTTCGTGGCCCCAGAGGGAGTTCCACCGAAGGTCCCAGTGGCGCAGTTCGCATGCGCCCCCCCGCCGCCAAGTACAGCGTTTCGTGGCCTTATCCCAGCGGCGCAGTTCGCATGCGCCCCCTCCGCCCAGTACAGCATTTCGCGCCCCCAGAGGGAGCTCCACCGACGGCCCCAGTCGCGCAGTTCGCATGCGCCCCCCCCGCCCAGTACAGCCTTTCGTGGCCCCAGAGGGAGCTCCACCGAAGGTCCCAGTGGCGCAGTTCGCATGCGCCCCCCGCCGCCCAGTACAGCGTTTCGTGGCCTTATATAGGGGGCTCCACCCGAGGTCCCAGTGGCGCAGTTCGCATGCGTCCCTTCCGCCCAGTACAGCCTTTCGCGCCCCCAGAGGGAGCTCCACCGACGGCCCCAGTGGCGCAGTTCGCATGCGCCCCCCCCGCCCAGTACAGCCTTTCGTGGCCCCAGAGGGAGCTCCACCGAAGGTCCCAGTGGCGCAGTTCGCATGCGCCCCCCCAGCCCAGCACAGCGTTTCGCGGCCCCAGAGGGAGCTCCACCGGAGGCCCTAGTGGCGCAGTTCGCATGCGTCTCCCCCGCCCAGTACAGCCGTTCGTGTCCCCAGAGGGAGCTCCACCGAAGGTCCCAGTGGCGCAGGTCGCATGCGTCTCCCCCGCCCAGTACAGCGTTTCGTGTTCTAAGAGGGAGTTCCACCGAAGGTCCCAGTGGCGTAGTTCGCATGCGCCCCCCCCTCCCAGTACAGCGCTTCGCGGCCCCATAGGGAGCTCCACCGAAGGTCCCAGTGGCGCAGTTCGCATGCGTCTCCCCCGCCCAGTACAGCGCTTCGTGGCCCCATGGGGAGCTCCAACGTTGTGGTACAGTTCGCGTACGTCCCCCACGCCTAGTGCAGCGTTTCGTGGCCTTATAGAGGGCTCCACCGAAGGTCCCAGTGGCGCAGTTCGCATGCGTCTCCCCCGCCCAGTACAGCCGTTCGTGTCCCCAGATGGAGCTCCACCAAAGGTCCCAGTGGCGCAGTTCGCATGCGCCCCCCGCCGCCCAGTACAGCGTTTCGTGGCCCCATCGGGAGCTCCACTGAAGGCCCCAGTGGCGAAGTTCGCATGCGCCTCTCCCACTCAGTACAGCGCTTCGTGGCCCATAGGGAGCGCCACGGAAGACGATACCCACAACTGCGGCACTCACAACCGCATATGGCATGGTTTCTCGCTAGGCTACTTATACTTTTCCCGGGATCGTGGCCGCCTGGACCAAACATGTAGCCGGCATTTCGGCGAGGGCACGGCTCTGGAACAACTTGCGAGGAAACCTCCAGCGCCACGGCTGCCAGTCCTCCATACGCGTCCTCGGGCTCCCCTTCCTCCGCTGTGTGAGACTCTTCTGCGAGCCTATCGCGTTTTTCTTCGAGGCATCGTGGCCGTTCGGACCAAACGTGTATCTGGCGTTGAGGCGAGAGCACGATTCCTGAATACATGATGTGGAGATCTCAGCGGAGACGGCCGTCCGGGCGCGGCATCCTGGGGCTTCCCGACCCCCCGTGTGGGTCTTCTGTGTGATTCTCTCCGTATCTTCACTAGATCCCTCTACCGTGAAGCGCTATCGGGGAAAAGTCCGCGCACATATTCCCAGGCTTCTGCTTACTCAGTTTGTCGTTCACTGGAACTATGTATGCATGCATGCATGCACGCATGCATGTATAAATGTACGTATGTATGAATGAATGAATGACTGTATGCATGCACATATGAATGTATGTGTGCATATACGTGTGTATGTGCGCATGCATGCATGTACACATGTATGTATGCATGCATGTATGTATGCATGCATGCATGCAAGCATGTATGTATGTATTGACTCGTGCGTATGTATGTATGCGTGTATGTCTCCTTGTCTGTATGTAGATATGTATGTAAATATATGCGTAAATATGTATGTGTGCATGTATGCACGTATGCATGTATGCATATACGCACGTACATATGTATGCATGTATGCATGCATGCATGTATGTATGTATGCATGTATGTATGTATGTATGTATGCATGCATGTATGTATGTATGTAGGATGTATGTCTGCATACGCGCATACATGCATGCCTGCATGCATGCATGCATGCATGCCTGCATGTATGTATGTGTGTACGTATGCATGTATGCATGTATGCATGTGTGCGTATGTCTGTGTCCATGTATGTACGTATGGTTGTATGTATATGTATATGCACATATATATACATATATATATATAGATGTTCATGTACATGTCTATGTATACGTATAGGTATATGTATGTGTATGTGTATTTGTTTATGTATGTGTATATGTATGCATGTACGTGTGTATGTATGGATGCACCCATGTGTGTATGTATGCATGTATCTATGTATGTGTGTATGTATGTAGGTATGTGATACACATACGTGTAATATTGCGTATGTATGTATGTATGCATGTATGTATGTATCTATATTCCCGATACATATACGTGTGTGAATGTGTATGCATGTTTGTATGCATGCATGCATGCATGAATGCATGCCTGTAGATATGTATGTATGTATGTACGTACGTACGTATGTATGTATGTATGTATGTGTGTATGTATGTATATATGTATGCATGCATGCATGCATGTATGTATGTATGTATATATGTGTGTATGTATACATTCATGCATGCATGCATGCATGCATGCATGCATGCATGTATATATGTATGTATGTATGTATGTATGTATGTATGTATGTATGTATGTATGTATGTATGTATGTGTATATACATATCTACAAATGTATATCGTCGGACCGAGGTATAAGATCGAGGTCAGTTCGGGGAGGTACCCTCATATTCTCCGTGCTCGTTGAACGTTCTCGCATCCTGGGAGAGGGCTCCCTCGAATGCTCTTCAGCTTGGCCGGCAGAGGGCTTCCTGCTCTCAAAGGGCGTTCTTCTGTCTTAGGTCCGGCCGTTTACGTGCAGACACAGATGTAGGCATTTATTCAATATAAATATATATACACATATGTATACACATTTACACGTGGTGTCCCGTGGTGTCCCGTGGTGTCCCGTTGAGTGAGATCGATAGTGAGATCGATTGAGTCAGATGTTGGTTCCATCCCCTCTCCCCCCCCACAACCTCCTTATCACCCGAAGGTTGGTCGTATAGGTATATACATGTACGCATCTGTGTGCATCGGTGCGTGCTTCTGCAGCCTCTGTGGCCTCCAGGGGGCCCCCATCGCCGCCACGGCTGGGCACCTGCTGGAGACGAGATGCCGGGACGGACCCCAGGAGGTGTCCAGGGATTGCCTGGGCGGACTCGGGCTGGAGGCACGTGGCAAAAGGGAGGGCTGGCGCGCTCCATCTCGAGGGCCAGCGCTCGAGCCAGACCGTGTTTTGGCGATTTCTCTTGGACCGCCTTCGTCCTGAGTTCGTTTCGCAGCCACGGCAGCGGGCAGACGGAACGAAGGAAAACGAAGATAGAACGACAACGAAAGACACGGTTCAGCTCGAGCCCTCCTCGACGCCTGCCTCGGGCTGGCCTCGTCAGGCCGAGAGGGCGTGCCCGGGCCACGGCGCCCTTCGTGCACTATTCTCGGGCCCGGCCGCTCCTCGTGGAGGCCCCAGGAGCCGGCCCCTTGCATTTCCGGCTCCGCTTGAGCGCAGGGGTGCAGGCCGTCGAAAGGCTCCCTCCATACCTCGGGGGCGGCAAAGAGGGGGGTGATGACTAAAGGGGGGGGTTGATATCATGGCGGGGGCCATGATATTTGCCCAGATTTCATGGCGCCTCTTCTTGCTTCATTACGTCCCTGGTCCCCCCACTGGGCCGCGCACATGCCGCCGGTCATGATTCGCACGCCCCCCTCATGGACACCCCCCTCTTGGCCGCTCCCGAATACCCCGTGCAGAGAGCCGGAAAGGATCGGGGGCAGGTCCCCCCGAGAAGGTTTCTAGTCAACGAGCGCGTTCCACGACCCGCAAAGTCTCTATTGGCAGGCGTCCAGAAACCCATGTCTGCTTCGACGTAATTGGTCGTGGATCCTCCGCGGCGGATCCAGGTCATTGGCGAGCAGTTACTCTGCGAGCAGTGGAGCGCGCTCGTCTATACATACCCCGCCTCGCAGAACGCCTCCTGCTTCCTAGACGCCGTGCTCGAGCCGTGTCCAAGAGGGGGCCGACCCCCCCCGACGAGGGCCCCCGCTGAGCCTCCTCGGGAGGCCGCCTTCCCCCCCCCCTCTGCGCCGCCGAGCCGGGCCGCCCCATGGGAGAGGCGGAGGACAAGCCGGTGATGCCCCAGGGCCTCCTCGGGGCAGTCCCGAACATGATCACGGCGTGTGTCGTGATGAGCGGCTGCGGGCTCATGATGTCGGCATCCGCTCCGGAGTACAACCCCCTGAGGGGCGTCGTCATCTTCTGGGTCGGCTTCGTGGCCGACATCCTCGACGGCCTCGCCGCGAGGAAGCTGAACGTCGGCTCGCACTTCGGCTCCTATTTTGATGAGCTGGCAGATCTCACGGCGTTCGGTATCGCGCCCGCTGTCTATTTCATGCGCCACTACATCGAACCAGGGGATGGCTTCTCACTTTCATTGGCAAGGTTCAACTTCAATTTCTTCTTATCAAAAGGATGTATGACTGCGATTTCAGGTTATGCTTACATGCTTTCCTCTGTCTTCCGGATATCGCGCGAGTTGGTGGTACACCGCGGCGAGAGGCCAAAATTCTTTGTTGGCTTGCCCACGAATGGAGGAGCACTCTTTCTTATCCACGCGGTCTACTTCTTCCCGACACAGAAATGGTTGTTTGTTTTGGTATTGTTGTTGAGCGCTGTGATGGCAGCACCGGTGTACATTTACAAGGATCCCACCGGGCTGCTCGTCCCCTTCGCAGAGCAGCGGGCCAGCATGAAGGCGGCTCGCCTCTTGGAGGAGAAGATGCTCAAGAAGGGGAAGTAGAGTGCGTTCGCTTTGAAGGGACCATGCCCGCGTGTTGGTATTCTCTTGACGTGGCTGCTGGCTCGTTTTTTAACGTGGGGCGCCGTGGGCGTACTGGTTGATGTGAGCAAGGTAGGGCGCATGCCTTGCCAAGCTCTCTCGATGCTTCCGACCCTTGCAATGCTCTATACTATGCAAGGGGAGCGCGATGGTTTGCCACCATCACTCCGCCACCCGGGGCATCTCAGGGGATTGCGCGCGTGCGGGCCACCGGCATGGTAGGCGTGTGGTGCTGGAGGGATCCGGGCCGGGATGCGGGCGGGTCGGGCCAGCGACGTCGTGGTCACTCACGTTTTCCGCGGCGCAGGAAGCACTGCGCCCCGTGCCCCGCTGGCTGCACAGCCTCGGCCACAGGCCGCCCTGTGCCCCCAGCCCTCCGCGGCTGCCCCCGCCCGCCCGCTCGAGCGGCGCGCTCGTCCTCCTCCTCTGCGCCGGCCCTCGCGGGTCGCAGCTGGTGCGGTACGAATCGTGCGCTTCGTGCCGCGAGCAGCCCGGCGTGCAGCTTCGCAGAGCGCAGGGGGGGATGTCGCGCGGCCGCTGGCGACGTCCCCCCCCCCCCCGGCCGAGACTCCTGCGGGCCCGCGCTGCACCCACGAGGGGCCGGAGGCGGCAGAAATGGGCGGGCCCCGCCCCCCCCCTCCCCCTCCCCCCCCCTTGAGGCCAGCGCTGGCGCCTGCTCGTCTCCCTCCCCTCGCCGATCCTCGCCGACCCTCCCGCCCTCGCTGGGCCCCGGAGGGCCCGAGCGGAGCTCTGCGGGCCCCGAGCTCCACGGCGGGCAGGCCCTCGCCCCGTGCCTCCCCCCCCCCCCCCCCGCGAGCCCGGCGCCGGCGCCTCCGCGGCCTCCGCCTCGCGGCCCCTCGCAAGTTTTTATTTTTGGGATTCAGGCAAGTTTACTTGCATGGCGTTCGCCCCCCCCTCCCCCCCCCCCCTCGCCCCTCTTCGAGCGAATACGAGCGTGCAGGTGCCTTTCGACTACTTGCGTGGTTTCCGCGCCCCTCCGAGCGTGCAAGTCGTTTGCGGCCTGCTTCAGGCTCAGCCCCCCCCCCGTCCATGCAAGTAATCAGGAGAGAAAAAAACACACAGACACAATTAATCCTCGATTCCCCAGAAAATATGGGAAAATATGGGAAGTGGGGGGGAAGACAGAAACCCAGAAAATATGGGAAAATATGGGGAATATTTTTATTTGTGTGTATTTATTTGTGTGTCCTGGGGCCCCTTCAAGTAACCTTGCCAGAGCCTACAAAAAAAACACAGGCTCTCGGAGGAGGGCCGGGCGGGACACGACGGCTGCCCTCCCTGCCACGCCTCGTGCTCTCTGGCGCTGCCGCAGGCCTCTCGCCGCCGCGGCGTGAGCCGCGTCGGAGAACGGGTCAGTCGGGGGTGGACAGAACCCCCAACAGTGACACGTCGATTAGTGAATTGTCCGTTTTCGGTTCTCGAGAGGGCGCCGTGGCCGTTATTTTCCAGGCTTGCGCCCGCCAGGTTTGGGCCTCAGGTCGTTTTCACTAAACCACGTTTTACTAAAGGGGGGTCTGTCCATCCCCGAGTCAGGGCGGGCCCCGGGAGGGGTCCAGGGGCCGATTGTTGGGTGCAGCTGGGCTGGGCGCGAGGGCCGCCGAGGAGCCTCGCTCCTTCACGCCCTCTTCCTCCCTGCTGGACTCCTTGGCCTTCGGGTCAGACTCCGGGTCGCTGGCGGCCGTTTGGGACGGCTCGGGCCTCCCCCCCCGAACGCTGTCGGCGATGCGCAGCTGCTGGAACGCGCCCCGGGGGCTCGAAAGCGCCGAGGCCCGACAACGAACGCTCGGAGGAGGGGGGAGAGAGGGAGAGGAGGAGGGAGAGGGAGGGAGGGAGGGAGGGAGAGGAGGAGGGAGATGGAGGGAGGGAGGGGGGGAAGAGAGAGGGTGAGAGGAGGAGGGAGAGGAGGAGAGAGGGGGAGGGAGGGCAGAGGGAGAGGGAGAGGAGGAGGGAGAGGGAGGGAGGGGGGGAGAGAGGATCCAGCTCGGAGCCTCTCGGTCCCGAGCTGGATCCTGCGGACCTGAGCAGGCATCGGAGGGGCCGCCCCCCCATCTTCCTTCGATGCGATCGACTTGGGTGCGGAAAGAATGGGTACGAAGACTCACAGCATGTCTTGCTCGTTTTTGGGCAGGGCTCGCTGTCCGCGCCGTCGTCACTTTTCCCTTCGGGACGGCAGGCCGCCTGCCCAACCGCGGCCGCTGTTGGTTTTGGATCGCTTTTGTTGTTGGGCATCGTGCCCATGCTTTCCGTGCCCATTCCGGGTGTCCAAGTCCCTCCTGCGAGCCCAGATGCCGGCACCGTACCGCGGAATGCCGGCGGTCCATGACGCAGGGCCGCCCCCGGTGCGACTCGGTGCGAGTCGAGTTCGCCTGCTGGGCCCGCGATTCCGAGTCGATCCCAGAGGTGCTCGTGCCGTGAAGAGGCGGACGCTTTTTCGTTTCTGTCGGCATCAGGACCGTTGAAATCGACGTATTGAAGAAGTCAAGACATCGCATGTCTGGCTTCGTCTCGATTCTCCGGCTTTGGCCAGGGCCAGTCAGAGCCAGGCGCGGCGGTTTGCCTTCGGTTCGATTCGGGACGATTTGCTTGTGATCCGATCCGTTTCCGATCCGATCCGATTTCTTGATTCCATTCAGCTCAGGCTTGCCCATGCGCGTCTGGGCAGATCCGCCCTGGGTTGCCTCGTTCGTCGTCGTCGTTGCCGTCGCCGTCGTCGCCCTCCTCGTGCTCCTGCTCCGTCGGGGTGATCGCAATAGGCCGGGGAAGAGTGGCGACGATGGCCAGCAACAGTTCCTGCACATTCTGAACAGGACCCGCTGTCGGTGTGGTCGAGGTGGTTGTCCGCTTGGGCCCAAATGCCGCACGCCCGACATCAGCCGCTCTTGGTGCCGTTGAGCATCCTGCCACTCCTCTCCTTACCTATTTCGGGCGTCCCCTTCATCCCCCCCCTTTCCTCGAAGAAGACATGGCGGCACAAGCGCAAGCTTCCGAAGTTTCGCGCAGATCTCTCGGGTCGGTGCTGGGACCCTCCGCGCCAGGGGTCTGGTGCCGAGCCAAGGATTCGGCGCGGACCTCCGAGTGTTGATGTTTATATGTTGATGTGGTTGTGGTTGTGGTTGTGGTTGTGGTTGTTGTTGTGGTGGTGGTGATGTTGGCGTTGTTGTTGATGATGATGTTGTTGCTGTTTGCTGTTGCTGTTGTTGGTGGTGGTGTAGGTGTTGATGTTGGAGTTGTTGATGCTGGCTTTGTTGTTGTTGTTGTTGTTGTTGTTGTTGTTGTTGTTGTTGTTGTTCTTGTTGCTGCTGTTGTTGCTGTTGTTGTTGATGTTTGTGCTGTTGCTGTTGGTGTTGTTGCTGTTGGTGGTGGTGATGTAGGTGTTGATGTTGGTGTTGGTGTTATTGTTGTTGGTTTTGGTGTTGTTTGTGCTGCTGCTGCTGTTGCTGGCACTGCTGTTGTTGCTGTCGTCGTCGTCGTCGTCGTTGTTGTTGTTGTTGTTGCTGTTGTTGTTGTTGTTGTTGTGGTTGTTGTTGTTGTTGTTGTTATTGGCGGTGGTGTTGGTGTTGGTGTTGGTATTCTTATTGCTGTTTATAGTATCATTATTTTTGATGTTATTATTACCACTATCACTGTTGTTGTTTTTGTTGCTGTAGCTGTTGCTATTGCAATTGCTTGTCGTGGTCGTCGTTGTTGTTGTTGTTGTTGTTGTTGTTGTTGTTGTTGTTGTTGTTTTTGCTGCTGCTGCTGCTGTTGTTGTTGCTGTTGTTGAATTCTCATTTCTGAAGAATGATTATTGTTCATCCTCCCCGTCCGGTGCACATTGTTTTGTTTCGATTGAAGTGCCCTTCCCGGGGGCTCGCACCCTGTTTTTTATCAGGGAAAGTCTTGCGGGTCAAACTGTGTTGTTGGCGCCCGGTTGATAACAAAAACGGCTCCCGCCTGATATTTCCTTACAATTTATTGAAGAAGAATGAGAAGAATATTAATACGTAGGAGAAAAAGAAGAGGAAGAGGAGGAGGAAAAGGAGGAGGAGGAGGAGGAAGAAGAAGCAGAAGAAGCGGCGGAGGCGGAGGAGGAGGAAGAGGAGGAGGAGGCGGAAGGGGGAGGCGGAGGAGGAGGAAGATGGAGGAGGAGGAGGAGGAGAAGGAGGAGGGGGAGGCGGAGGAGGAGGAGGAGGAGGAGGAGGAGGAGGCAAATCGCGTCTTGGGGCCTCGTGGGACGCTGTTGGGGCGCTCTTTGGTACTCTTGGCACTGTCTTGGGGCCCTCTTGTGGCCATTTTGGGGCCTTCTTGGGGGCCCTGGAGGGCCTCTTGAGGCCATCTGGGAAACTATCGATCAAATGAGGGGGGGTCCTAACGTTCCCCACCATTCCCCCTTCCCCCCCGCTTTTTGGGGCGCTCTTAGGTCGCTCTTGAGCGCTTTTGCGGCCGTCTAGGGGGCCCCTGCGGCCCGTCTTGGGTCTTCTTCGGCCAAATTGGGGCCATCTTGAGGCCTCAAAGGCGCTCGGGGGCGAACAGGCGAGGACGCACACATCATAGCTTTCCATAAGTTCGTGAAGGGTATTGGCCCCTTGGGGGGGTCCTGACGGGGCCCCGAGAGCACTTGGAACCGTCGTGTGGCCCTCGTCGGGCCTCTTGTAGGCATGTCGGAAACTACGTTGAACCAGCTTCGGCTATCTTGAGCCGCCGTGGATGCCATCTTGGAGCATCGGAGGCACTCTTGCCGTGTAAGATGATTCCAAGAGTGCCTCCGATGATCCTGTCGGTTCGCGAGGTGGCAGGAGGTATTTCTTTATCCGAGATGGTCTCGGGTGAAGAAGAACCTTCTGCCACCTCGCGAAGCCGAACAAACAAAACGTCAGCCAGGGGAGGGGGGTGACGCCTTTCCCCGGCGGGAAGAGGGTTTTGCAATATGAGAAAGAGAGAGAAAGAGAGAGAGAGAGAGAGAGATCGTTGGACCAGCTTAACGCAAAGGGCTGGTGGGATTCCTAAGCATGTGGGCCGCGACAAGGGCAGGGCTCGGAGGTCATTTTGTCAGCGAAGGCCCCCCCCCCCACCCGGACGGCGAAACGCATGTCCAAGGAGCGCACGCTCAAATGGTTGGCCAAGCACAACCGACAGGATCTCACCCCGACATCGACCCCGAGCGATGCACAGACGCTCACGGAGACCAGCAGGCAGTACAACAGGGTGAGTTCGAAAGGGGGAGGGAGGCGAATCGCATCTCGCCCGACTTCTCTTCGGAAGACTGTCTCAGGAATCCGCATCAGGAGATTACGTTGGGGCCCTGAAGAAGGAACCCTTTTCGTTGGGGAGGGGCTCCGCGTTCCTTGAGTGTTTCACAGCTTGCCTCAGGCTTTCCTTATGGTTACTTATGGAAAAAAGGGGCCTCGTTCCTTATTTAGGGTTCCTTATGTCAACGCCCCGACTGTACGTTGGGCCATCCTCCCGACTGCGACCTCGAGCTGGCCTGGCCGGCAGTGGCCGCGGCCGGGCAGAGCCAGCCGCGGCAGCAGAGCTCAGTGGATGGAGCCAAGCTTGCGGCAGGAGTGGCCGACCAGAGCTGCAGCGGGCGACCCGAAGGAGACGTTCCGGGCCGCAGGTGAACACGCGGGCGAGCTGCACTCTGCGAGCCTCGCGGTGGGCTGCGGCCAGAGCGAGAGGTGCATATCGGAGGCGAGAACAGTCTGCGTGGAAGCCCGCGGGCAGAAGGGGCCAAACACCCTTGCCCTGAACGTGGAAGGCAGCCACCAGGAGAGGATCCCTCGGAGGACCTCGACGGAGCAGGTCAAGCACTGCGTGGCGAAGTGGGAGTGCCAACTGTGACCGTGCAGCTGCATGAACGTTGGCTTCCGCGGCAACTGCAAGATCTGCGGTCGCAGTGCACTGTGGAGAACGTAGCTGCAGCAGAAGGAGCAGAAGGAGGACCTGGATTCGAGCCGTGCCGCGGCCTTTAATCAGAAGGGAAAGAAACACACAGACACAATTGATCGTCGAGTCCCAGGAAAATATGGGAATTGGGCGGGAAGACAAAACCCAGAAAATATGGGGAATCATGTTATTTATGTGTATTTATTTGTGTGTCCTGGGGCCCCTTCATTTAAGGAGGACAGGGAGGGCAGTCTTTCGTGGGCTGCGTGCAGCTCGTCGGCGGGCCAGCCACGGGCGAGCGGCTCGCAGGCCGTGCGGCCCAAACGTGTGCGCCTGCGCCACGACCGAGGCACTGGCCGCGGAGAGCGGTCGCCGTGAGCGAGCAGACGAAGCAGAGGGAGGAGCTGGAATTCAGAGCGTGAATTACCTACCCCGCTTTCGCTTCCAGGCAAAGCCAAGTCATACCACGCGCCTCCTCGTCAAGCGGCCTGACCAGTACAGGCCGTAGTTTGGCATCGCTTGGTATCCCTTGGAAGCGAGGGTGGTCAAAAGCGAGGTAGGTTTGTTTGCCCCCTATGGAAGCGAATCTCGCCCTGGTCCTGGAGAAGGGGGGGGCGTCCTGCGCTCGGGATTCGACCAGGGCGGGGCGGACACCCCCGTGGACAGCAAGGTGGGGAACCTCTTTCGGCGGAGGCCCAAACCCTTGGTGCAACAGCCTCGCCGCTGGAATCGGACGGGGACGGTCTCATGATGTGGTGGGCGGAGCACATCACTTACCAGGACTTCAGGGGAGCGGAGGTGGTAGACGTCGCCCAGGGAACATATCCTGGTTGCGCGAAGTCATCGGACATGGGCAAGGACAAGAGCTATCGGACGTGCCATTGGGGCACCTGCCAGATTTTGGCAACACTGCGGCCCAGCCAGTGGCTTTAACGAGGAGGCGTCGTGCGCTCTACAGTCGGGGCACTGAAGAAGGAACCCTTTTCGTTGGGGAGGGGCTCGGTGTTCCTTACTTGTTCCACACCTTGCCCAATGTTTTCCTGATGTGTTTGGTGGCAAGTCGAAGGTTAACTTATGGAAAAAAGGGGCCTCGTTCCTTATTTAGGGTTCCTTCGGTCAACGCCCCGACTGTACCTCCCAGACGCCATCGGTGTGTCCCTGGAGCGGGTCATTCGTGATCTTCGTTGCGCTTCGGCATGTGATCGGAATGTTGGAGCTTGACGTATCGCTCTGAGGCAGTCGGCCGATCGGCCTGCCTGGCGCGCTGTTTTCAGGAGGAAACGAAACACACAGACACTATTAATCCTCGATCCCCCAGAATATATGGGAAAATATGGAAAGTGGGGGGAAGACAGAAACCCAGAACATATGGGAAAGTATGGGGAATCATGTTGTTTGTGTCTATTTATTTGTGTGTCCTGGGGGCCCTTCTGTTTCTCTTGCTCGGCTGGCGCGGTTCGATGTTGCTGCAGTGGGGTGGCTTTCGCTGGTCTCTCGTCGCCTTGGCGGATTCCCTTCGTTTTCTGTGGGCCCGCCCAGCTTATGTGCTTCGGCGTTGGTCGAGGCGCTTGCCTCGGCAGCGAGCCCTGTGGACTGGGCGCACCATCGGTACCCTCAGCACGTTCCTTTTTCCTCCTCCGTATTTTTTCTCCTCCTCCGCCGCCGCCTCCTCCTCCTCCTCCTCCTCTTCCTTCTCCTACTCCTCCGCCTCCTCCTCTTACCTTTTCCTCCTACCTTTTCCTCCTCCTCCTCCTCCTCTTTCTTCCTCCTCCCGTTTCCTCCTCCTCCTCCTCCTCCTTCTCCTCCTCCTTTTTCTTCCTCCTCTTCTCTCCTCCTCTTCCTCCTGCCTCCTCCTCCCTCCTCCTCCTCCTCCTCCTCCTCCTCCTCCTCCTCCTCCTTCTATTCCCTCCTCCTCTTTGGGGTGGCCGGGCCCGGCCCTGGCGAGGCCGCCGCGGCCCCGGCGGCGCCCGCCGCCGCGGGGGAGGCCGCCGCGGGGGCCGCCGCGGAGGGCGCCGCCGAAGACGAGGGGGAGCTGCTGCTCCCCGTCGGCCCAGACGGCGACGGCGCTCGGGAGGAGAACCACCCTCTGTGATCTTCAGTATCTCAGAGCGGGAATTACCTACCCCGCTTTCGCTTCCAGGCAAGACCAAGTCATACCACGAGCTTCCTCGTCAAGCGGCCTGACCAGTACAGGCCGTAGTTTGGCATCGCTTGGTATCTCTTGGAAGCGAGGGTGGTCAAAAGCGAGGGTGGTCAAAAGCGAGGTAGGCCTCCCAGACGGGGTCGGAGTAGATGTGGTCGGTGGATCCCGCCGCATCGCCGATGCATCGACGATGCGGCTCGATGCGGAGACCGTGTTTCCACACGCCGACGTCGCCGATGCATCGCCGACGTCGCCGATGCATCGCCGATGCATCGGGATGCATTGGCGATGCGGCGCGATCCTTCGACCCCATCTACTCGGACCCCACATAGGAGGCCTCTATTTGTGATCTTCAGTGTCGCTCAACCGATGCCCCTCCCCATCTTCGGATGCAGCTCCTGGGAGGTCAGATTCGGATTTAGCCTGGCCCGAAATCCCGCTAGATCCGGCTCAATCCCGTTCAATCCCGCTCAATCCGGTTTCATCCCGCTTAATATCCCGCTTAATCCGGCCTAATCCTGCTTAGTCCGAGGCCCACTCCGTCGTAACAGCTCCCAAATGGGGCTTAATCCTCCGTAATCTTTCCGACGAACACCTCCCAGTAGTTGCCTCCTGACCCATCCCCACCCCCTTCGAGACCCCCACCAAATTACCCCCCCCAGTTGGGGATGCACCCCTCGAAACTCGAAGTGAACGACCTATATCCCCATCTAGGGGGGCAAATCGGCCAGTGGGGCTGAGCGAAACAGCCTAAAACCAAGGCGTATAATAGCTTTGTGATAGGTTTTTAAGCCGGGTGCTATTTTTTAGCACTCCTGGAAGGTCAGGGGACTCAGGACGAAACACCCGCCCTGGGGAAGTGGTCCAGACCTCTGGGGCCCACGCACCGACAAAACTGGAGCGGCCGGAGGTCTGGGTCTGGGTTCGGAGGGTGCAGCCGAGGGCGATCAGGTCGACCTTGCCAGCTCAAGGGTACCCTCGTGTCCCGTGTTTCGCGACCCATGCCTTCTGCAGTCCTGTCGCAATGTGACCTTCGGAAGGGTCTTGTGTCCTCTCGCGTGTCCTCTCCAATCAACCCCGACTGCAGTTTTTCAAGGGCCCCCTGCATCCTTGCCTCTCCAGGCATCCAGGGCTCGTTTCGATTCTTCCGATTCGATTCGGCTTCGATGGCTTCCGATTCCGATTCTATTCGGCTTGGAGTTCTGATTCCGATTCCGATTTCTCAGTGGAGGCCTTGATCGACTGTTGGTTTCCGCCAATTCGACTCCTCCCGACTCCGGCTGCCGATTTCCGTCGATCTTTTTCGTTTTGATCGCCGATCGGGCATATCGATTCGATCACCCTTGCGTTTCCAGCTTCGGCTTCAGTTTGGGCGCCCAAGGCCTTACGTCCTCATCGCGCATCCTTCTACGATCTGGTCACACTGTGCCCTTCTCGGGATGGGGACGACGGGGGTGGGCGTGGGAAAGCGGGGGGCGAGGCGCACTCTGCTGCCTGCATCTGATCTCGGCCCCGCCGCCAGGCGCTCTCGTCCATACATTGGCGCCTCCGGCTTCGGGAGGCACCAGGAAAACGGGCCACGCGAGGTGATTCGCAATCCGTTCCCTAGGTATAAGATCGTGGTGCAAGATCGAGGTCGGTTTGGGAGGGTACTCTAGTGTTCTTCGTGATCGTTGGATGTTCTCGTGCATCCTGGGGAGGGTACCCTTAGATGTTCTGTCTATGTGTTTTGGTCAGCGGAGGGTCTCATGTTCTTGAAGGATGTTCTCCAGCTCCAGGTCCGATTGTGCCCTCCTCCTCTCGTCCGACCCGACCTTCCCTCGTCACCACGGCAGGATTCGCCCCGAGATTCTGGTCATGGAGCGAGCCCTTCGAGAGGCGCACCGGCATCGGCATCCGTCGGCGACTCCCGCAGGGGCGGGCGGGGATAGTCCAGGCGGAAAGGCTGCGTGTACCCAGGGGTTTCGATCACTCATCATCGCCCGGACGTGTGCATGCTATCCCGGCGTGGACCATCGGGGAGCATCCTGGACCACCTTGCGAAGCATGCGCGCGCGACACCAAAAGGTGCACGGGGAGTGGACGTGCGAGCGACGGCAAGGTCAGTGTAATCGGCGTCACCCCAACATACTTATACTATGTGTGCGTCGCCCCCCCCCCAGGGGCGACGCGCGCACCGAGAAATCTTATAGTATGTGTGTCGCGGCGGGCGCTTTCTGGCCACACCGCTCGGGAAAGGATGTGCTACAAGATGGGTATACTGTATGTTCGGGTCGGACGTGCGCCTCCAAGGAGAACATGTAGTACTAGCATGTCTCTGTAGGAGGAGGAGGAGCAGGAGGAGGAGGAGGAGGAGGGGAGGAGGAGGGGAGTAGGAGGAATGGGAGGAGGAGGAGGAGTAGGAGGAGGAGGACGAGAGGAGGAGGAATGGGAGGAGTAGAAGGAATGGGAAGAAGAGGAGGAGGAGGAGGAGGAGGAGGAGGAGGAGGAGGAGGGCCCCTGGGGCATCCGCCCCTCTCGTCGTCGACTCTTCTCCCTGCTCCCTCCCCAGGCGCGGCCGCGGCGCGGCCGCCGGCGCCCAGGGCGAGACGGGCTGCCGCCCGCCGTGCTCTCTTTTTGGCCGGTGCCGAGGGCGAGACGAGCTGCCGCCCGTGTTTGTTTTTTTTTTTTTTTTTTTTTTTTTTTGTTTTAAATGTTTTATTTTTATAGTATACATAGATATAACCCATTAAATATCTGTATGTGTGTTTTTCGCTTTTTCCGCAGAAGTCCAGCGTCGTGACGAGAACCCGGGCGGAGGTCCTTCCGTCCCGTGCGGCCTCCACGGGGGGCAGGTCGCGGGCCCTGGGGCCGTCGATCCGCGACCAGGAAGCACGCGGGCCCCTCCGGAGTGGGTGCTTCCTGTGCTTCGTGTGTGTGTGTGTGTGTGTGCGCATCTGTCCACTCAGAGCAAACGATGCTGTGCAGTGCCGTTTTTAGTACATGCTCCGAGTGCGGATCATGTATCAAGAACTCAGGGATTTGGTACAAAACGACGATGAGTTCATGCATACATGTATTCATATATGAATCACGTATTAAAACATCCAATATAAAAAACAAATCCCATGTATTAAAAACAGCCCTGTACACCGTCGCCCCTTGAGGGTGCAGGAAAATGCACCAGCGGGTGGTTGTGCATAGTCTGGCGGCAGTTCCGGCTCGTGGAGTGGGGCGGGGGGCGGGGGCGTCCCCAAGCACACATCACCACACCAGGTCCCACCAAGCCCAGTCCCGCCAAAGCCCTATGCAGGTTGTTGTGCCGAAGTCAAGTTGTTGTAGTCAGCGAGCCACGCGCAGAGGGGGGCAGGGGGAGGGGGAAGGCTTCTCAGAGGCACCCCTGCTTTTTAGAAGGCGCGGGCCTTATCAATAGATGCAAGGCTGGAGTAGATGCAAGGCTGGCGTTTTCTAAGATGCAGCCTCCTTCTAAGGAACCTTCCCCCCTCCCCCCTTCCCCCCTTGTGCGCGCCGCCAAGTCAAGCAGCGACTCAGGATGAAGCGCAAGGGGTGGCTCGGGCCGCACGGAAGGGCAGGATAATTTCGGGACAGGGGGGGGGGTACGAAGTCTGCTGCATGCAGCTGGCTTCCCCCCTGCCGCCGGGCCAATTCCTCCGTGCGTGGGCGCCTCCCGGTGCCAGGAGGCACCAGGAAAACCAGCTGCGTGAGCTGATTTTCTCTACCCTGCCCTCTGCTGTCCTACCCTTTTCGTCGCCCCCGAGGGGCGCATCGAAAACAGGAAGACATTGGAGATGCCCCTGCCGCGGGCGTCCGAGAGGCTGGGCGCTGCAGGTGGCCCAGGATCGGCCCGATGATCGGGCGATCGGCGCTGTCGGAAAGCGCGGCCGCGGAGCTCGGCGGCGAGCGAGGGGGGGAAGTGAGAAGGGAAAAGGCCCTCTCCGAAGGCGGCGGCGGGACTTCTCAGAGGCCCTCGCGCCCTCAGAGGTTTTTGTTTGTTTGTTGTTATTGTTTGTTGTTGTTGTTATTGTCGTTGTTGAACATTATTACTTCTAAAGAATAATTATTGTTGGGGCCCCTGGTGCACGACCCCCCCGCCGCGCCTAGGCCGCAGCCTCATTTTCATCATTTTCGTGAGGAAGTCTCAGGCAAAACGGGTTGGTCCGGATCCGGTTGTGTTGTTACGATCGGTTTTCCCTTGCAAAAAATAAGCTAAAGTGGACATTTCTTGTTCTAACATAACCAAACTTCAAGAATCCCTTGCAAAAAATAAGGTAAAGTGGACATTCGCGCGCGCAAGACGAAATCCTTCCAAAACCTTAGTTTTCGTAGCGATTTTAACATAAAAACATCAAAAAACCAATGGTTTTTTTCAAAAAAAATGTCAAAATTTCATCCCGCGCGCTCTTGCGGATTCGTAGGAAACCCAACACTTTTTAAACATTTCTGTCAAACGGGCTTTTGCGAGCAACTTTTTCGAACTTCTGCAACAACGGTTGCGCACCTGCCAGGGCCATCATCCCTGTCAAATAATACCATGCGGGACACATTCGTTTTTTCTTCGCGCGCGCACGCCGTCGTCGTCGGCCGCGGGGCCCTGAATAGTAGCCACGGTCGTCCGCATGCCACGAAGTGAAGTGTCCGAACGTCATAGGGCGGGAAGCTGGGTGTGGGTGGTGGCGAAGAGTCGTTTGGAAATTTGGTAGAGCTTGAACCGGCCCCCCCACAAAGTGGGGGTATTGCCCGCCTCCTATGAAAACCCTGGCACTGGTGAGAACGGAGTGTCCCCACGTGCTAGTAATTGTTGTTGTTGTTGTTGTTGTTGTTGTTGTTGTTGTTGTTGTTGTTGTTGTTGTTGTTGTTGTTGTTGTTGTCGTGTTGTTGTTGTTGTTGTTGTTGTTGTTGTTGTTGTTGTTGTTGTTGTTGTTGTTGTTGTTGTTGTTGTTGTTATTGTTATTGTTCTTGTTGTTTTTGTTGTTGTTGATGTTGTTGTTGTTGTTGGTGGTGGTGTTGTTGTTGTTGTTGTTGTTGTTGAACATTATTACTTCCAAAGAATAATTATTGTTGGGACCCCTGGTGCACGACCCCCCCGCCGCGCCTAGGCCGCAGCCACATTTTCATCATTTTCGTAAGGAAGTCTCAGGCAAAACGGGTTGGTCCGGATCCGGTTGTTTTGTTACGATCCGCTTTTCCCTTGCAAAAATAAGCTAAAGTGGACATTTCTTGTTCTAACATAACCAAACTTCAAGAATCCCTTGCAAAAAATAAGGTAAAGTGGACATTCGCGCGCGCAAAACGAAATCCTTCCAAAACCTTAGTGTTCGCAGCGATTTTAACATAAAAACATCAAAAAACCAATGGTTTTTCAACAAAAAAATGTCAAAATCTCATCCCGCGCGCTCTTGCGGATTCGTAGGAAACCCAACACTTTTTAAACATTTCTGTCAAACGGGCTTTTGCGAGCAACTTTTTCGAACTTCTGCAACAACGGTTGCGCACCTGCCAGGGCCATCATCCCTGTCAAATAATACCATGCGGGACACATTCGTTTTTTCTTCGCGCGCGCACGCCGTCGTCGTCGGCCGCGGGGCCCTGAATAGTAGCCACGGTCGTCCGCATGCCACGAAGTGAAGTGTCCGAACGTCATAGGGCGGGAAGCTGGGTGTGGGTGGTGGCGAAGAGTCGTTTGGAAATTTGGTAGAGCTTGAACCGGCCCCCCCACAAAGTGGGGGTATTGCCCGCCTCCTATGAAAACCCTGGCACTGGTGAGAACGGAGTGTCCCCACGTGCTAGTAATTGTTGTTGTTGTTGTTGTTGTTGTTGTTGTTGTTGTTGTTGTTGTTGCTGCTGTTGTTGTTGTTGTTGTTGTTGTTGTTGTTGTTGTTATTGCTGTTCTTGTTGTTGTTGTTGTTGGTGGTGTTGTTGGTGTTGTTGTTGTGGTTGTTGCTGTTGCTGCTGTTGTTGTTGTTGTTGTTGTTGTTGTTGTTGTTGTTGTTGTTGTGGTTGTTGTTGTTGTTGTTGAGGTTGTTGTTGTTGTTGTTGTTGTTGTTGTTGTTGTTGGTGTTGTTGGTGTTGTTTTTTTTTTGTGTGTGTGTGTGTGTGTTCGGGAAATGCAGCGGCTCAGGATAGAACGCCGGGGGCGGGGGCGCATCGAAAACATGACGACATTGGATGCCCCCGGCGCGGGTGCTCGAGAGGCTGAGCGCTGTAGGTGGCCAAGGATCGGCCCATTACCGGATGCTCGGCGCTAGCAGAAGCCGCGGCCGTGGAGAGTTGACCGATCCACGCTGAGGAAAAATGTACTCATACCCCTACCCTTCCCTCGTTTTCGCCTAGTCGGGCCTCCTGGGAGGCCCTCGTCGCCACCGCGGATTCGCCTCGAAATCCTGGTCAGAACGGGCCCCGGGGGAGGTCTGGGGAGTAGCGGTATCAGTACCCTGTCGTTTCCCCAGGACAGCCGCGGTCGTCGAGAGTTGAACGATCCACGCCGTGTCAGAAACCGACGCCGACGTTGTCGCCACGCTGACTTGCCGTAAGGCGGCCATTCGGTCAAGAAGTGCCCACGGCGGTTGTGACGCCCCACTGGGAAGTGGTTGATTCAAGCACGTATTCCGGGTCCGTCGTCGTTGTCGCCGTCGAGGTCGCCAGGTCGCAGCCAGCGACCCGGACGAGATAAACAGCAGTGTCTCCTGTTGATCGCCCTGCCCGATTTGTTCTTGTGGCCGCTCTGGTCGCAACAGTTTGCGCCCCTTGTTCCTTCTTTGGGGTCCCAACCTCGGCGTCTGAGCCCGTTTGGTCCCCGAGTGGGCCTCCAAACAGAAGCGTGTTTCGTTACTGCTTGGGGCATAATGGGCACTACACCATTACAGCCCGCGGCCCTCCCTCCGCCTATGACGTAACGCCCCTCCCCCCCAGTGCGCTCTCGGCACTGCCGCCGTGCGCACGTCGGGGGGGAGGCGTTCCCCCCCTGGCCCCTCCCCCCTCCCCTTGTGATGCCCATTATCGCCGAAAATGCAGAAACGCGCTCCAGGCTCCATTCCGACGGGCCGTGTGGGCATCTGGGCCGTCCGGCCGCCGAGCCCTCCCGTGGCCGCAAGAGCGCTCGGACGCCGACGGGGCGCAGCTGGGAACCCTGGGGCACCCGCGGGTTCCAGCGTGGTCTAGTTCGAAGAAGAAAAACCGCCATAGACGTAAACGTTTTGGCGCCTAGTTCGAAGAAGAAGAACCGCCATGGACGTACAGCAGCGCGCCCAATTCGAAGAAGAAAAACCGCCATAGACGTAAACGTTTTGGCGCCCCGCGCGGATGTCTCTGATCGGCGGTGGGCCCCCCTGTGGCGGCACCTCCGGCGCCGCCCCAGCGCAGCCAGCGCAGGTCCAAGAAATCCGCGCGGGGCGCCAAAACGTTTATGTCTGTGGCGGTTTTTCTTCCTCTGCTGGTGCTGAAGGCGTGGTTCCCGCGGCCCCCTTTCTGTTTTCAGAGGTCCCCCGCTGGGGCCGTGGCCCCAGAAGTGCCTTCGTAGGCAGTCAGCCTGGGAACCAGTCTGACACCACACCACCAGTTCGTGAACCACGGCTGATGTCGCTTATCGTGTTCCGCGCAGCAAGTCGCTGTTATGCCCAGGTCTTATCATTCGAATAAATGCATGTGGCCGAAAAGTTCGGTGGCCGCCAACGTTCCCGAAATCGTGACCGAAGTTGAAGATTTCCTTTGGTTTCGAACCAAGAACTTTGATCTCACTCTAGTGCGTTCGGAAAAAGCGGGCGCCGGATTCGGTCACACTCGGGTAGATTATCGAGCTCAGTTTCGGTCACAACATCAGGGCTGAGTGAGCGTTGTGGAAGGACACGGCGGGCGTCTTCGCTCCGATTCTGTGCCTTGGTCACTCGAACAAGAGAAATCCTTGGAGTTCTGCGCGGATTTCTTGGATTCGCGCTGGGCCCCCCCTAGCGGCGTCTTCCAGCGCCAGCGCTCCAAGGAACCCGCGCGGAGTTCCGAAAGCTCAGGTCTATGCAGATGTTTCTTCTACTCACGGACGGATCTTCAGCGTCACCCCAACATACCAGTACTATGTGTGCACCGCCTCCCCCCCAGGGCGACGCGCGCGCGCCGAGAAATGTTGTGGTATACGCTCAGTGGTGGACAATTTCTGGCCATACCGCACGGGAAACGGTTTACTACGAGACTGTTGTATCATGTGTTCGGGTCGGACGCACGCCTCCTAGAAGGAAATGGAGTACTAGTATGTCTTTGTGCGTTCCAGATCTGGCCCGAGAAGTGCCACAGAACGACGGGGCCGAAGGCTCCCGTCTGTTTTTTGCGGGCGGCCGTTGTTTGATCGAACTGTTCCTGGAACTTGTCTGGCTCATATTGTCCTGGTAAATATCGCCAGCTTGATGTTCGCAGAGTACTGTTCATGTTGCTAGAGCACTCCTGTGCTCCCACAGCGGTGGGCCTGCAGGAATGCCGGGACGGTCGGTGCACAGCTTCACGCCCCCTTTTCTAGGCGAAGCGCCTGAAGATCCGCAAGAGCGGGGAAGCCGTCGGTGCGCGGCCGGGGCCGGGAAGCCGGCGGCGGGGTCGGGGGGGGTCGGCCACCGGCTCGGCGCCCTTCGCGGCTGGTGTGATGGACCAGTGTTCCACCGCCATTCTCACTTCCACAGGTGGCCTCCTCCTCCTCCTCCTCCTCCTCCTCCTCCGCCTCCTCCTTCCCCTACCTATGGTTGCGGTGGTGGAAAGTCGCCCCATCATGGTGTCGTTAGGGTCGCTAAGGGAGGGAGGAAGGGGGAGGAGGAGGAGTGGGGAAGGGGCAGAGGAGGAGGAGGAGGATGAGGAGGAGGAGGACGACGACGAGGAAGAGGAGGAGGCGGGGAAGGAAGAGGAGATTGAGTGAGTGAGTGAGTGAGTGAATGAGTGAGTGAGTGAGTGAGTGAGTAAGTGAGTGAATCAGTGAGTGAGTGAGTGGGTGGGTGGGTGGGTGAGTGGGTCGGTGAGTGAGTGAGTGAGTGAGTGAGTGAGTGAGTGAGTGAGTGAGTGAGTGAGTGAGTGAGTGAGGAGTGAGTGAGTGAGTGAGTGAATGAGTGAGTGAGGAGTGAGGATTGATGAGTCGGAGGAGGAGGGGGAGGAGGAGTAGATGGAGGGGGAGGAGGATGATGAGGGGGAGGACGAGGAGGAGGAGGATGAGGAGGAGGAGAAGGACGAGGAGCAGGAGGAGGAGGAGGAGGAGGAGGAGGAGGAGCAGGAGCAGGAGCAGGAGCAGATGTAAGAAGCAGGTCGCTGGGGGGTGGTAGGCGACAAATATCATGTAATAAAAACGACGGGGAGGGGGGTATGGGGAAAGTGGGGGTAGTACAATAATTCGCATCATTTGTCAGATGGTATTGCTTTCATATGATATCGTTAAAGTACGTTAGTACATCGCAAATCGCGTCACTTGTCATATACTATCGTTAGGTTGCCGCCGCACTTTCGGTTAGGTTGCCGCCGCACTTTCGGTTAGGTTCGCGCCAAATCCCTTTGGGGCTTTAGGTTCGCGCCGCACTTGCGACAGCCGCTTGTATGTTAGCGACGTTCTTAAGTATGTTCCGTATATGGCAGTACATCGCATATTTCAGACACGAGCTTGAGTCTAGTCACCTTGCAGTATGCATGCAATATGTTACAGTCCTTCCCCGTGTTGTGTTGCAGTGGGCTGTAGGGGGGGGGCGGTGGGAGGGGAGTGCGGTTTCGGCGGAAGGGGCCTACGGCGCGGCAGTGGTCGCGGCGGAGGGGCCCTAGGACCAAGAGTATGGGCAGGAGGAGGAGGAGGAGGAGGAGGAGGAGGAGGAG